TCCCCGGCCAAAGGTCGGATACTTTTCTCACAGGCCTCGTATAGTGCAATAAAGGATTTTAGTTTGGAACATTGAGATGTTGTACAGCTGATGGAAACCACAATGATTAGCTTAGACATAAATGAGAAATAAATGGCACATTCTGTGTTTTCTTAATGCACTAAAAGATATATATATCCCAAACTACACTTTTTGTAGGCATGTAATTTCTAACTAAAAGACACAGTGCTACTAAATAATCTACACCATATCAACTGAGACACATGGTACAAGTAGATTCATTGTTTGTATTAATGTTGGTGAAAGAAGATCTTCCAATTCTATAGGTTATGTAGCTTCTGCTAGAAAGGTGAAATCATGATATGATCACTTGAATATACATTCAAAATGAAATAAAAAATAGTTAACTTACTGTTTCTGAGTAGTTTTGATTTAGTAGTTAGATTTGTATAATCAAACATTTTCTAAGCTTTAGCAGATATCACTGAATATTTCATCTTGGTATTATTTCCAGACAAGAGTGGTTGTAATTCACAAACTTTTTGTTAACTACATTTATACTTTCTATGTGGAATGCATGAATACAATTCCAGATTTATTTGTGAAGTCACATATGATTTCACTTATATTATTAACTTATATAAGAGGGTAGGTTGGCATGGTGTACAGACATGTTATGAAACCTTCAGGGATAAAAGCTTTGGTCACTACATGTGAAGTAGTTGGTGTAATTTCAGTTACAAATGTAAGGTATGTGTTAGAGTTTACTCTCTTTCCCATTGGACCCGCGCTCTATCTCCATAACAACCAGGAAATGATGTATGTGTTCGAAAAGCCTTTTCACCCCAGCAGCCAGATGAAATCACAATGGAAAATGAGAAGCCAACCAGTCAGTAAACTTAATACACAAACTTTAATGTGATTAAAGACTTGTTTTTTGTGTTTGTTTTTCATTAGCTGTCCATGTTTGATTTAGTCTCTGCATAACATTTCCAGATTCTGTAAACATTTGAAGAAAATTTCAGCTTCTCTTGGGTAACTGAAGTCAAACATAAAATAAAATATTTCACTTCTTCAATATCAATAAAAATATACAAAACCTAACAAAAATACTTATAAATGATGTACTTTTAAAATTTATTAAATGCTCTGTATCATATGCAACTTCTTTTTAAACAATTTAAGTGAAACATCTTGGTTTATGATTTCTTTTGTTACCTAAGCAAAGCTGAAGTTTTTCAGAAGTTTTGAGAAGTACACTGGCTCCCTCATCAAACATATTTCCAGATTATGTATCTTGTTGATACTTTATATTTACCCGTTAGATATCAGAATACCTGAATACAACAAGAGTACAAGTTTTTGTTCAATACTGAGAAAAAAAGCTGTATACACATACAAATACAGACAACCTTACTGCCATTCATACTTAAAACCACAAGGTTATTCTAGTCACAAGACTTTCCTACAGTTTTATGAATACGAGAACAGCTATTTCAACAGAACAGTTAGAAACTGTTTGCTGAACTAAATTACATGTATCACATTAGAGTTGCATTTTTTAAAATAAAACTTTTCAAGAAATAAGTGATAATGGAAAAATAAACATATCTTTTTTCTCAAAACAAAATTTTCTTTGGTGACTTGATAATGTAAACCAACTTTTTACCACTACAATTATTTATATTAATTTCTTACTTTAATCAGAAAATTTCATATTTAATGAGATAAAAAAGTGGAGAACGGGGATTATACAGTTATCATCTGAATTACTTGTAAAAACTGCTTTTGTGAAATATATTGTGTCATCAATAACTGATCAACACTTTCATTTAACTTAATTTTTTTCACATGAATGATGTATTCAATATCTTTTCTGAGAACTAGACTCACTCTTCAGCAGAAAGTAGATCACTAATGAATTTATTGCAACAGTACTGCTGTCTATTTTAACAGTGGAAAGAGTATATGAATTGATTGCAAACAATACTGTCATTGGATTTCTGAGTTTATTAACATAGTTTCTTAACAGTGAGAAAAGCATTAACGAATTAATTACAACCAGTAAGGTTGTCTGTTTTCTTGACAGTGACATGTGTAATTAAAAGAAACTACACTTTAAGTTATCCTTATTTATTCTTTTAAAAGCTATATAAATCCTCAAAATCAATAATAAAGGGCTAGAAACTTACCAATGGGCTAACTGTCGAAGTAAAGAAGATTGTACTACTTCATTTAAATGACAAGATAAACCAAGGTAGCGACATAATGCTTGGAACTGATATTCTTCTCCATGCATTTCCTGCAGAGTCTCTGGAGCTCCTACATCAGTGAGAAAATGAAAGAATAATGCAGAACATCGAAGAAAGGGCAGCATAGCTTGATGAATATTTCTGAGCAGCTTTTGAACATTTACAGATTTTCTACTATTTTCTAATCCTGTTTCATTCAAAACCTCAAAGTAAAAACAGCAGATTTCTACCTCTTCAGGTGTCTCTTTGTGCTGAGATTCACTGGTTTCAGTCTCCTCAAGAGTAGGAAAATCAATACTGAGTAAAATCTGTACCAAATGAAACACTAATATTAGATGAAGCATACACAGTTCATTGTCACCACCCAAAGGAAATGCCAAGCCACTGTTGCTTCCATGGTTGTTACTTGCTGTGAAAAGAGCAGGCATGGACAGGCAACCAAACACTAGCAAAGTGAAGGCATCTACTTCTAAACAACAGTTTGGACTGCAAGAGTGGTGTTCTGGTAACAGAAGAAATTGCAAAAGGTTTACACAGTGGCTACGCACCACTTGTGCATCAAAGATACGAAGACTGGCTCCCACAACTCGCACCAAACTTTGAATGCACTGTGCTTGACGAGATGATAGGTCACCAAACAATGATTTTTTCTGATCTTGCAAAAGTTGATCTATAGAATGAATTGTATAGGCACAAGACCACCAGGCCATTAAAGGGACTCTTTCATCATCAGAATGTGGATGAACATTAAGTCCCACCTGCCAAAAACAACACTATATGTAAGTGGTAAATTTATAATACATGCAAACACCTTTATAATTTTTCATTACAAGACAGTTTGACGCTATTAAACTTTCCAACTATATTCAGGTTTTTAATCACCTATCAAATTGTGATGAAATCATATAAACATATAAGCTCACATTAGGTGACAAAACCTGTATCTGGAGGTATGAGTAATGTAATGTTAGCTCTCATCAGTCCACTTAGGTTGTTAACAGATTTATAATTTATTGGTACTTTTTAATGCATTTTGTTATCTGAATTTATGTATTTTCGTTTTAAAGTTACGTGTTCATATTTTACTATATTTTTGTAAGAAATCAGATTGAATATAAAATATACTCACAAAATCTCCTTTCAAACCTTACAAATTATTAAATTATAAAATAATAACACCTTCAAATAATTTTGGTGTTATCTCTGTATGATAATGCTAACAAAATTTGATTACAGTTTCTAAATTTAATTTCTGAAGGATGGGTAAAATATAACTCATGGTAGCTCATACATGAGATACACCAATAGCTGTTAGTACCAAGTACAAAATCTTTATAAAAAATTAAGAAATTTATTAAACCTTTAAAAATATGTGGAAGTTCAATCCAGCTCTATTATATCTTTTCTGCTGACAAAGTGTGACAAATGTTAATGTAATACACAAGTTGAGGGAATGATGCATTTAATTTAAACTAATTTAGACAACAAAGATTCTGTAAAAAACAAATGATTCAATTACACACGAGATACAAGGTTAAAGTATTTAATTATATTTTTGTATATCACAATTGTGTAATAAAATCCCACTGACAGTGATCAGTGCTAAAGTAATTCATCAAAGTGAACTTCCAGCAATAGTTCTGACAAGAACGTATTTCTTTTAACCTAAAACAGATATGGAAGATAAGCCTAAGTTGTTGTGTAGATTTGATTTGAACAAACCAATCTCTCTATTCTTTAAAGGTAGATTCAGCAATCAGGTTTTCATTTCTTTGTACTGGTATAAGGTGCAAGGCTCATAATTATAATTAACATTAGCTTGATAGCCCAGGATAAGTAAGAAATGCATCTGGACCAGCTGCTGGCATGAAAACCTAGTATCTGTTTCTTATTTGACTTTTTGATATACTCAGAGAACTGAGTTGTTGCTTTTTTATGGTGAAAATGTGATATTAATTGCTCAAATTGATTATTTCTGAAAGCAATAAAGGAATTAATTTAACAGCCAATAAGAATTTTTTCTTTCTCTGCATATTTACAATGATACACGACAACTCAGTTTGTTGTTTTAAAGACTCTACAATCATAATATTGTACCAATCCAACGTGTCTTTAGATACAAGTATGTTATAGTTAATAAGTAAATTAAATATTGTTTAATATTTATTTATTTACAATAATTAGATTTTGAACACTTTAATGATTTTACAGGCAATATCTGTAGCTGACAAGTGTTTTAAAATATGTGACCAGGTTAAGGCCTCAATCTCTCTATTTTAAAATAATTCAATTACAATTTCAATGTCTAACTTTACTATCTAACTGTCAAAACAATATTTTTCATTGTGATTATTATACATTGTAGGTTTTTAAAGATGTGTCATACATAATTATATATGTTTAACTTTAAAAGGGCTTTTGCATTACATGGTTGTCTACAATTATAACACTTAATAACCATTACCAGAGGTTGAGATTTATAATAAAGGTTGTCTTGTGTTTCATTTAGCAATTGGAAATTATTGTAATTTTACTATTTAATGATTTTCATTAAAACATTAAGTCTTCGGGTTTCACAATTGTTTGTTTGTAATGAAGCACAAAGCTGTACAATGGGTTATCTGTGCTCTGCCCATACAAGTATCAAAACCCAATTTCTAGCACTGTAAGATCACAGACATACCACTGTCCCACTGGGGGATCGGGTTTCACAATATACACAAGTTAATTTCTGAAAGCAAACATGCAATAACAAGAACAATCTTCAGGTTTTGTGCAAATATTGTTTTAGGAGCAAAAATCTTTTGTGAGACTAGTTCTAGGCTATTAACCTATTACAATGGCTTAGCCTGAATGCTGGCACTTGATTTAGAATACCCAAACCAAAATATTTTCCTTCATTAATATTATACTAAACCATCAGCATAAAATAAGACATTCTCAACTATTTTTAAAAACCCATTTCATTTACAATAGCTATAGATGCTAGAAACATAAGTTTAACAATGCAGCACTTAAATTTAAAACATAATTTAAATTATGCATGCTTTTGCATGGATATAACAAAAACACATTTTCTTGAATCAATCTCTGTCATGATATAAAAGACTGTTTAGTATTGATATTACTAATTAATTTGTTTTGCGAGTGAATATTAGGTAAAAATAGAGTTAGAAGAAATTATTTTAAAGTAAAAGTTATGACAATTTGTTTTGCGAGTGAATATTTCATAAAAATAGAGTTAGAAACAAATATTTTAAAGTAAAAGTTATGACAAGTGAATATTAGGTAAAAATAGAGTTAGAAGAAATTATTTTAAAGTAAAAGTTATGACAAGTTTAGATATAGAGGATATAATTAACAGATGAGTATGTAATAAACATATTGTTATGTCTCTGGTCATTAGTTAATTTTCTATAAAAATTCTTTCCGAAGAAACTTTACCGATACAAGTCCTTTCTTAAATAAAACTGGTTTATTCTTTCTGAATACAACATTGCAATACACTTAATTTCCACAGTCGCTCTATAACAAATGCTATAATTCACAACGAACGTCTTATGTGCTCGACTCAACTGTCAATTACACATTACATTGTTGCCGTCAGTTCTTACCGGTCTTATATGCACAAGAATACTGCATATCTAGTAAAAGCTTGAGACTTCACGAACCTTCGAGAATATGACATGTTACTAGCGTCACGTGACCCCCGCTGTCATAACACTGCCCCTTCTTTAGTATTGTTCGTAGCGAACAATAGCCACTTACATCAAACCAATAAACAAGGAACAATAACTTAATTAAATGTACAGAATTTACAAGCACAAAATTATAATTCAACAAAGTCTCTTAATTTTACAGGACGTATCTTCTTCCGTACTGGTCTCTATCTCGTTGGCTTCTGTTTCATGTGGGGTTCATCTGCTTCATCAGGAAATGTCCAATCGTCGATAACAGTCACATCAGTGGTAGTAACTTCATCAAGAGCTTCACCGTTTCCCTTCTCAAACTGAGTAGAGTTTCTTCTTCGACGGTGGCTTCTTCAGGTGGCACATCTTCAGCAGCGTCATTTGTTCTGTTGTCCACTTCGTCCCAACTGAAATATCCTGGACTGTGATAACGCCAAAGCCTGTTGGCATGCACCACTTTTGGCTTACCTCGCCGACCACATTTTACCCGGAAAGTCACGTCTGAGAGACCATCCACTATGTCATATGGGTCTTCCCATGGAGAAGACAACTTAGGAGACTTCCCTTTGGTCTTCCTGGGATTAGACAACCACACCTTG